TTCATATGTTTCTGGCACAGTATGCTTCTGGTGTACCAAATCATCAATGATATACTCAATATGAATATGGGGCTTAGTCACTTTTTTCTTAGCAGATTATCATGTGAACTTATTGTTCAGTTTGACTAGTACGTGGATATAAATATTAAAGATCTTTTTCACCAATGGAATTTCTTAACATTATTTGGTATTTTGGGAACTAATCTCCCCCTAATGTCGAGAATTAATCTTTAATAAAAATACAGTCAGCATACCAAATTATAAATTGATCCCCTAACATGGGCCATAGGTACTAAATTATTGACGCAGTCAGCATACCAAATTATAAATTGATCCCCTAACATGGGCCATAGGTACTAAATTATTGACGGAGTTTCATAAATAATGTATGTACCTTCACCGAGGTCCCATAGAGGTACGCTATGATGGTGATATAGAAACATGGACTGCAAATAAAGAATACGCAGATGAGAAATGTTTCGCTTCTTCATCACGTATTAGATAAAGGGGGACTGTGATATGCAATTGGTCGGATTTGGTTTGAATACCTCATTTAATTTAAGAAAATCCGAGGAATCATATTTTGCCCAAGATGACTCAATCGCTCATGCCAGAGTTTAAAAGAATTTGGGTCCCTAAATCTCAAACTCATCGCAACATGGTGTATTTTAGGCCAGAAAAATTCTAAAATATACACATATGAATAAAAACCACATAGGTTCACAAGAGTTTAAAGAAAAATCAAGATAAATTAAAATTGTCTGACAAATGTATATAATCCAAATATAGAAAAACCAAATAGTTTACCTTGACCACCTCGATAAGATCCATTACCTCCCCCTCGTCCAAGCTTATGAATATTAGTTTGAATTATGACATGTGTTTCAGGCACTACGACTGAACCAATTAAACTTGCATTATGGTTTCTCACAACAGCTGGTTGTGTTTTTAACAACTACTAATGCAAGGATTAGTTCATAATGCTTAATATAATTTTTAGTTGTACTATTGTAAGAGTACAAGGTTACTTGTTGAATTGTATTCAGTCGAGGGTTTAAAATCCAAAAATGGCTACAGGATAAGATCTCCTACTATGTTCATAGCCTTCCCCTTGTCCACGCGTATAAGTAATTTTCTGAATTGTAGCATGTGATACAAACACAACTCGTAAGCCAACTAGTCTGACATTATGATTTCTAATCATTAATTGGTTGTGCTTCTCTGCGACTACTAATGTAGATATCAATTCAGAATGGTAAGTGCAATTCTTGGTCATGTACTGCTGCAGGAGTATAATATTATTTGCATGGAATGGGGAAAAGAACTTTTTGATCAAATTATTGGCTTCCATAGATCAAAGCGATCCTTCAGGGATTGCCCAGAACAGTGAATACTTTTTCACTGAGGCATTTAATTTTTCACGTCTTAGAAAATTTAAAGTGTTTGTCTTCTGGGTAAATATACTTAAAGAATCAAGAGATATAATCGTGCAAAAATCACATGTGTGTCCAGTAAAAAAAATGAACGTTCGATACCAAAGACAAGTAATAATTACTATCATATATCACAGTGCACTAATCATGGGGACGAAAGATTAGTGCATGAGAAATTAGAAATATTCACATAATCACCAAAATTATCAAGCTCTTTTTTCTAAAGATCTTCATAAAGGTTATCTTTCAAATGTTTGCTTCTGGCAAGATTCAAAACACCACCAAGACAATTTGGATAGAAAACTAATATTGCATAATTTCAGTGGAGAAGGAGAATCAGTGCAATTAGCAATTAAAAAATGGACCACTTATGGACGCCAACATGAGCTTTAAAAACCTACAATTTAATTTCAAGTTTTCATGAGACTTAGATTTTACTTCAAGCAAGCAAATAGAATATTTAAAGCAAAAGCATCAAATTTATATATTATGATAATTTTTCATGATTGATGCTCTGTCTATTCTACATTTTTAGCCATGTATAAGTAGCCTATGTTACAGAGTTCAAAGAAAACCATTTGGATCATCCCAATAAGGGGTTAGACCATTAACAGAAATGAAGTTCCAACCAGGTGTTCATATGTAGGAGCAAATTGCATTATAATATAACATAAACCACAAAATTAATTCACATGAACTTTTGTTCATTAGATGAGATAATACATTAGAAAAAACTCTAACAAAGCCAACTAAAGATCAGATAATAGATAGTAGAATAAACTACTCATAAAGCCCTTTGGTCCTAAGAAAGAATAGAAATCAGTCTATCCTCAATAAATTTTTTTTTCTGCAGTATCAGGAACTGTTATGGAATCTTACGTTTTAACTTTTAATAAGTTCCCTGTTAACATTGATGGTTGCTTACACAGCAATTCATTTTACCGATATGGTGAAAATTATTGAGTTATTCAATGACTTTCATGTTGTGTGGTTTCAAATATAATTATTTTGCAGTCTCGAAAATGAATACAAATGGAACAGAAACACTATGCACTTACATGATTGATCATTTAGATTATACATGCATGCCATTGGTTAATCGGACCATGCCAGTTTTTAAAAAACCCATCACTATTGCACTGATTTCTTATTGCATGTAAAATACTTGCCTTTGCAGTTTGTTAACTAGTCTTATTTATTGAATACAAAGGAGCATATTCCCTATGTGAATTATTCTACCTTTTCAGTTTGCAAACTCATTGATATTTGTTGAATATAATTGATCAGAATAAAAGCAAAATAAGAAAGTATCATGTGGAAATTGTTACCTCGTAAGATGTGTACACCGAAATATCTCTTACCACCAACGGACGATTATGAACCGGCTAGCTAGAGCTTTCGTGCTGATAACGTGTTGTAATCTTGTTGTTATATCTACATACATCATATATATCAACAGTAAGAATCAAACATGAAATGTAAATGTAAATAGATAAGAGAAGAAATAGGGAGAAAAGTGATTCTCATTTTATTCATCTTCCTCATTCCTCCATGCATTTTGTCTTCCATGGATTACATTATATAGATGTGGAAGAGAATACTAAAATTCACAAGTAGGTGAAGAGACTTCTTCTAGTAATGTCCACATTCATTGTATTTATATTTACAACAATTTTTTCTTTTTTAAAAAATAATAATTCTTAACTTATGAACTATTTCATGTAGCACTTCTATGCATTTGTAGAAATTTCATGTTGTGTTATACTTCTTAGTATAATTCTTAACAAATAAATTTCTTGAGCTTTAAACTGAAATATCATAATTATTTATTTGCAGTTTGACGCAGTAGTTAAAATCATTCACCAAGAGCATACATTATATCCTTAATTTAAAATTTTAAGCAAATAAAAGATTGTTCAATATTACCAGTACTATTAAAAGAAGTGCCATTATGCTTATGGCAAGAGTCCATGCTTAGTGGAAGTTAGCGAACAACTTGAAAATTCAATTGATATTATCTTTTTAAATGTTTTACGATTATAGGATGTAATGCTTATCAAAGATAGTGATGGTAATTGAGCTTTTCCAAGGAAATTGTTTAGATAATTTTAAAATAAAGCTCATTGAGTTATAAAAAAATGAGTACCAGACACATTAACTTTTATCTTCATAAAAATTCTACACATTTATTAATTGTGAAATAATTATCTAATTTTTATATAATTAATGAACTCTAATTAATTGATTGTGTTTGGAAAAGAAAACTGAATAACTTTTGTTAATTACAATGTAGTTTTGATTAGAGTATTTCATTTGTAATGAAAAATCTAAGATGGCACCGTGCCACAACTTTGTGCAAAAAAATAACATTAGAGGACACAATGATCTTATTTTTGACTAGTAATATGCTTATAAGTCATAACTAGTTGTTTCTCGCAGAATGCATGAGAACTTGTTACAATTGTTGCATGTATATCATGGTGTTATGATTTAACAAGTATCTATTTAGATAAACAACCAATAGATCATTTTCTCATCAAAACATACCAAAAACCAACTAACTATATCTGCTTATTTCCAAGGTAAAGTATCTCAGTAATAAATGATTTAGGTGATGCCTGGTTGTCTGGTTGCTTGTTTTTGTAAAGGAAAAAAAAGTTAAAAGTTACTACAACAGTGAGGCTACATCAACTTTTCTTCATTTACATAATTTGGTTGACAAAGCTGATCATAGGTGAGTGTGACACCCATAAAACTGTTCCCTCTATTTATTTATTTTTTCCTTTTCCCTTTCTTTATTTCTTGAACTTTCGAAAGTACACTATAGATCTTACTAATTAAATTATCAATTACATTATATATTATAAAAAGATATAAATATGAAATATACAGTTATTTTCTAGGTAAATAAATACAATAAAAAAAACAATTAGAATTTCGATATATTTCAATATATAGATATTATAAAAATGTATATCTAAATATTTAGGTTTAAGATAATTTAATAAAACAATCTGAAGATGAACTATGAAGCAGACTCTTCTTATGGCATATCTAGAAAAATTACGTTATTATTCAAATTAAAATATATATCATAAGTAATTTCAAATAAGATAAGATAAAATATTATATATTAAATAAATAAATATCATACTTTTTAAGTATTAAAATGATATTTTTATATAAAAATCGAAACAACTATATTTTAATGTAGATTGCACGTACAATGCTGGTATTAAATAATAATTTTGTCCTTTTATCGTAACATTTTGAAAACGTGCTTAATTAAATCCCTATGAGGTCAGCACCTTCAGCAAACCACCACGCGCCTCACAACTCCAATCCGACGGCCACAATAGAAACCACGTTCCCTAATCAAGCGCGAAAGGGTACAGTTGGAATTCCACCTTGCTATGCATGCCATGCCATGGATGGATCATGGACATCCGAGACAGTTCGGCGGCCACAGAAAATATCGTCGCCACGTCAGCAGCGTCGAGGGCGTGGATCAATAAGCGCGAGCGAAAGCCCCCCGCGGCCTCCAAAACCCCCCTCAGTGACCCCAAGCCGATCACCGAAGTGTCCAAATTTTCTACTACCCCCTCACTTCACTAGAAGTTATTCCCCCCCCCCCCGACGAGCTCAGGGGGGGAGAAAACCTAGCTCCATCAATGGAAAATTCACCAGGTACGCTCAATTTCCCCGCCGCTTTCATCGATTCCTTTTGATAATGTCGCTCGAATTACATGAATTTACTCTAAATTTTGCAGAGTTTCGGAGGTTTGATTCGATTGAGGTTAGTTGAGATGGTTTTTGATCGAGAATGTGAACGGTTTCTATTGCTAATTTCGCTCGAATTCATTGAATATGATTGAACTTTGTAGAGTTCCGATTAAGATGGGTTGCGCTGTTGTTTGTTAATCGAAACGGCTGCCGGCGGATTGATATGGAGATTTTGAGGATGGCGTTTTGCGCGGATCAGAGGACAGCTAAGTTCACCTGAGGAATTTGTCGGTTTGGGGATTGAATCAGGGATTGGATTTTATTTTTTTTTGGTGTACTTTGGGGTGATTTTTGATGCAGTGTTTCAAATTCAATTCTTCTGCTGCTCTGCTGAACATTCTGTGGTACAGGATCAGATAGAGAATTTGAGGGTTTTGAAGGGGTTAGAGTTTGTTGCAATGTCTGCTGCTTCTTGTGCGAAGTGGATTGATGGGCTTCAGTTCTCGTTGTTGGTTTGGCCGCCACCTCAAGATGAGCAGCAGAGGGAGGTACGGGAATTGTACTGAAAATTTTTGATGTTTGTTGCATTTGCATCAGTTATACATATTTTTCCTAATTGGTTTGTGTAATTTTGCTGTCATCAGTTTGGGAACATTACTACTTTTGGTTAAGGAATGGTAAAAGTTTGAAATTTGATGCTTGAGTGAATGTTGGTGGTTACTGTTTTGTAGCATACGCTAAATTGGTTAAACTGAAACGAGGTTTGATGCTCATAGTTAGGATAAATTGCAAATAATCCCCTCAGCTATTTTTGTAGGACTAATCACCGCTGGAGCCACATTTTGAGAAGGCTAAATTGCGGCTAACCCCCTTTCAATTATGAATTGAGTGGTGATAAGTGCTGAATGAGTTGAGGGGTGATAGGTGCCGCTGAAGGTATAGATGACAGGGGACGATAACCTTTTTATGAGCTTACCATCTGAATAAGGAATGAGATTGTAAGATTTGATACCAAGGAAACCAAATGGTCTCTTTTTTTTCCCCAGAAACTTTAGAAATAAATTCAATCTTTTATCAAGGCTATTTGTCATGCCAAATGTAAAATTTGACAATCTGGGTAGACTTGAGATTCTGGCTATGGATCATAAATGAGGTTCTCTTTAAAAAAAATCCTAATTCCAATCCAACTTTGGATCTACTAGGTTTTACTGAAACCATTACTTTGAATGTTTAAAACTTTATATATGTTGGTCTTTTATGCATCAAAAGGGGAAAAAAATAATGCACCTTTACTGCCAAAGGTCTAGTTTCTCATGTGGATCGCTTTCCTGTTTTCCCTTTTTTTCTCACTGGCATCAAAAGCTTCTGCAAGTTCAGCAACATTTTCGATTGCTCATCTTAATACTACAAAAACTATGTAATGATAACTGCAAAATTTTGGCATATTTTTAATCAATGAAGCTTAGATTGAGTTTTGATAAAAGACTTGTATAATCAAATAATTTCTAGATAGTTATGGTATTTGAATTATTAATCTAACATAGATTGATGTCCAGGAAATTAAAAATTAAAGAAGATTAATTTTAATGTTGTTTTTCTTAAATATTACTTGTGGTTAGGGAGTTTAACAACAGATTTGATCCAGTTAAAAAGTTAGATATCTAATCATGGCTTCTACCAATATAGTTTAAGAGTTTATTGAGGTAAAGTGCTAACCTAATATCATATGGTTTGTTCTATTGAATTAAAACTAGTATCGTGAAGAGATTACTCCATCTAGAAATTGTATTGTATTATTAGTTTTTTTCTTCTAATTAAGTATATTTCTATATATGAATATAAAAAAGATTTTTATTTTTATTTTTGTTTTTTCTCAACTAAGCTATCCATTTTCTAGATAGTTAGGGTATTTGATAAAAGACTTGTATAATCAAATAATTTCTAGATAGTTATGGTATTTGAAATATTAATCTAACATAGATCGATATCTAGGAAATTAAAAATTAAAGAAGATTAATTTTAATGTTGTTTTTGTTAAATATTACTTGTGGTTAGGGAGTTTAACAACAGATTTGATCCAGTTAAAAAGTTAGATATCTAATCATGGTTTATACCAATATAGTTTAAGAGTTTATTGAGGTAAATTGGTATAACCTAATATCATATGGTTTGTTCTATTAATTAGAACTAATATCGTGAAGAGATTACTCCATCTAAAAATTGTATTGTATTATTAGATTTTTTTTCTTCTAATTAAGTATATTTCTATATATGAACATAAAAAAGATTTTTTTTATTTTTTATTTTTTATCAATTAAGCTAATCCAGTTTCTAGATAGTTAGGGTATTTGATAAAAGACTTGTATAATCAAATAATTTCTAGATAGTTATGGTATTTGAATTAAATCTAACATAGATCGATATCTAGGAAATTAAAAGTTAAAGAAGATTAATTTTAATGTTGTTTTTGTTAAATATTACTTGTGGTTAGGGAATTTAACAACAGATTTGATCCAGTTAAAAAGTTAGATATCTAATCATGGCTTAAACCAATATGGTTTAAGAGTTTATTGAGGTAAAGTGGTAACCTAATATCATATGGTTTGTTCTATTGAATTAGATCTAGTATTGTGAAGAGATTACTCCATCTAGAAATTGTATTGTATTATTAGTTTTTTTCTTCTAATTAAGTATATTTCTATATATGAATATAAAAAGATTTTTTTTGTTTAGTTTTTTGTTTTTTCACAACTATGCTATCCAGTTAGAAAATTATGATCACTGCATGATGATTCTTCGACCAAATCAAGTTTAATTGCAAGCTTTGTATTCATTGTTTCCTTGTCTTAATTATTTTTCTCTGATATAACTCTATAATCAACTTTGGTTCTTCAAATCATAGATCTAATTATGTTATATCCATTATCAACGATTAACGATCAGAAACCTAGATCTGATCAGCACTTCAAATCCGTTATGATTTTAGTGATTTGTCTGGTCAATTTTTCAAGCCTTGTTATTCACCATATGGATCATTATATGATTGGAAGGTCTTAGTCCCTTAAATTGGGTCATGCAAAGTGTTAAGCACGCTCCTGCCACCTTCAATTGTGTTCCA